CACACCACCATACCCCCCCCCTCCCCCCCCTCCCCCACGACCTGAATCCTCCGAGAAGGCATTCCTTTTCCATGGCTACATGCATGCGTGGCGCCCGCTCTACCCCCGCACTGCTGTGATCAGCCCTTCCACTGTCCTGCTTCCCCCCCCCCCCCCCTGACCCCTCCTCCCACTCACACCGCGTTGGCCACACACTGCCACGCAGTCACGGGTGGAGGTCCCGGACGTAGGGTCAGACACAGATTCAAGCTCGGGAGAGTCAGCCTCGTCGCCCATCTCGCCGAACTTTACCCCCGCAGGCTCGCCCCGAAGACCGCCGCAGCCGCCAGACACAGCTACGTTGGCGTCGGCGATGTCCGAGACGGCGGTGGCGGCTCACTCGCCGCGCGGATACGGAGAGGAGCTGGTAAGGGCCAAGAGACGGAATGCCATGGCGGCGGCCGGGGCCAAGGAGCGCGGCGGCGTGGTCCGTGCTCGCCTCGGCTCGCTGCATGGCGTGGACCGAGGCGACGGCGGCGGCGGCACACTCTCTGCGCTTACCAAGCAGCGGGTTCGCGAGTCCCTGGGCGCCTTTGATGCGTACCTAGGTTCGGCTTCACGGCCAGATGTGCCGGCACTGTCGCAGGCGCCCCTGGATTCGATGCTGGCCATGGAAAAGTCGCGGATGAACGCGCAGCTCGACACCTTTGTGCGACTGATGCACATGGGAAGCCCTGGCAAGGGCAAACAGCACGACTCGGTGGTGACGCGTCCACGGGCGCTGGCCGTTTCGGACGCTTCGCGCGGCAATTCACAGCCGGTCGAGTCGTCGCTCATTACAGCACTCCGTGCCTCGGCATCGTCGCGGGCGGCGAGTCCGGCGACGGACGCCGAGGCCTGCGCAACGAGTTCGGCACCGGTCGAACCGGGCATTGAGGCTTGGATTGCACAGCTGACTAGCTTGGCCATCGAGCTGCGCGACCTGTCTGCGTCGCAGCTGAGCTTGGCTGAGTGCCAGGGTGTGGTGAGCCGAGCGCAGGACTTGCGACTCGAGATTCCTGCGCCGGCGACGGCGCGTCAGGTGACCCAGCTTTCGGCCTTTGTTACGAAGTTTCTACTCATTCTGGCGCCGGTCTCACGCCTGCTTGCGGCGCAAGACGCAGACGCTAGCAGTGCGCGTGGAAGGGCACAGACAAGCGCGGGACCGCCACACGCCATCGAGCTCTCGTCGTCAAGCTCGTCGCTTGGCGGCTTTGACGACAGCTGCAGCTCTGCCTCGGACTCGGGGTCGGAGCTGTCAGCCACGTGGCATATGCACCCCCAGCTCCAGATTTCCAACTTGTCCGAGTGTGTGGCATCGATTGGTGGCGAGAGCGAGGTGAGCCGGCGGATAGCGTCGGCGCGAGCGCTGCGGAGCTCGGGCTCGGGCGCCACCATCCACGGTGGGGTCAGCTCGCTGACGTCGACTGACGGGCTCGGCGAGAGCGAGGACCTGTATTCGTACACGCCACGCAAGCTACGTGCAATGACGACGGCGTCGTCGACCGAGCTGGCCGCCTCGCTCCCGTCGCGGTTTCTCGACACGCTGCCGGGCAGCATGGGCTCAGCTCCGCTTGTCCGAGCTAGCGACGGCACGCCAGGAAGCAGCGCGGCGAGCGATCTCCACTTTGTGCCGATTGTTAGTATCGATGCCGACTCGGGCATGGACGAGCTCGTGCCGGCAGACCTCAACTACGAGCTACTTGTGCACAAGCTCGCTAACCCGCTCATTGGCGTGGAGATTAAGGACCGGCGGTATCATCTCCGCAAGTATCCAAACTGCTTTGTGGGCTCGGACCTGGTCTCATGGCTTGGCATCGAGCTCGGGCTCAAGCGGGCCGAGGCAACAAGGGTAGGCGAGGAACTGTTGCGGCGCGGCCTTGTGGAGCACGTTGTCAACGAGCAGCCGTTCATTGATGGCTTCTTCTTCTACCACTTTACCCAGGCCGCACACCCGCTGGCGACCGACGGCTCGTCGGTCTCCGAGTCGGGTCCGACCGAGGAGCCGTCCGAGTCGGTGCTCTCGTCACTGACCGGCATGGACTCGGATCCCGAAGACGACATGTCGCGGGCGATTGCCAGCCTCGGGACTGATGACCTCGACACCATGCTCGCCGAGAGCCGGACGCCGAGCCCGGGCACGATCGGTGAGACTCGCCCGGCCAGCGGAGAGCCCTGCAGCGAGTCGCCCGAGCCCGAGGCGCCCGGCGGTAGCGGTAGCGGGAGCGGGACTCGCGGCAAGTCTTTCTTCTCGCGGGTCTCGTCGTTTTTTGGAAGAAGCGTACGCCCGAGGCCGAGACCAGGAGTGCTGGAAGCGGCGACGAGACGCAAGTTGGCATCGAAGTCGAGCGCGAGTCGTTCCTCCTCTGCCGGATTTGCGAAGAGCTGGTCTCGTCGTCGGAGCTGGAGGTTCACTCGCGAGTGTGCGTGGTGGCGTCCAAGGCGGATCTCAAGAGGGCGTCGTGTGACATGCGGCTGCAGCGGCTGGCGCAGACGCTGCAGCGCGGAAGCGCGCACCCGACGTCGACCGTGTCCGAGGTGGAGCTCATTTCCGACGTCGAAATGCTACAAGTCATCGCGCGTGAGGGCGCCGCGCTCAAGGTCGACGACGACGACGTGGTTGGCGCGCTCGAGGGCCTGCTCGAGCAACTAGCGCGACTGCAGGAGCGAATAAGTGGCGAAGGCTGCCCGCTGGCGCAGGATGTGCGGACGTTTGCGGCGCGGGTGGCCAAGCTGCTGGAGGAGAAACTGGGAGCGTGCCGGGAGCGGCAGATGATTTCGTCGCAGCTCTCCGCGCTCACGCCTACCAAGCGCGTGGCCGGGGTGGCCAAGACGCGCCCAAGCCAGCGCGAGGCGCTGGTGCCATCGATCAAGGACTTTAGCATTATCAAGCAGATCTCCAAGGGTGGCTTTGGGCGGGTCTTTCTCTCGCGCAAGAAGCGGACGGGCGACTTGTACGCCATCAAGGTGCTGAAGAAGGATGACGTGGTGAAGAAGAACCTGGTCGACTCGGTCTACGCCGAGCGCAACATCATGGCCGTGACACACAACCCGTTTGTTGTTCGGCTGTATTACTCCTTCCAGACCAAGTCGTACCTGTACCTGGTGATGGAGTACTTGATCGGCGGCGACATGGGAACACTGCTCGAGTCGCTGGGCTACTTTTCGGAGGACCTCGCACGGCTGTACATTGCGCAAGTTGTGCTCGCACTAGAGCACTTGCACTCCCGTGGCATCATCCATCGCGACCTCAAGCCGGACAACATCCTCATCGACGCCCAGGGCCACATCAAGCTCACCGACTTTGGCCTCTCTCAGCTCGGAGTCATCGACACACTCAACGCCGAGTCGTCTGCGGGCGGGGCGCCGAAGCGGTCGGCGTACCGGCTGCAAGGCGAGTTCTCGACAAACCCGCTGGCGGAGACCGAGGTCCAACTGCGGTCGTCGGGCGTGGTGGGCACGCCCGACTACCTTGCCCCAGAGATCTTGCTCGGGACTGGGCACGGGGCGGCGGCTGACTGGTGGGCTATCGGCGTGCTGCTGTACGAGTTTCTGTTTGGCGTCCCGCCGTTCAACGACAACTCGCTCGACCTCATTTTTGACAACATTCTCAACGTGCGGATTGAGTGGTTTGACAACGAGATCTCAGCCGATGCGCGGGCACTCATCGAGGCACTGCTCCGTGTGGACCCGTCGGAGCGGCTCGGCTCTGCGGGCGGGGCGGACGTGCGTGCGGCACCGTTCTTTGCCTCTATCGAGTTTGAGAGCTTGATGGACCAGCCGATGCCGTTCCGGCCCAAGCCCGCATCTGCGCTGGACACGTCGTACTTTGAGTCTGAGGCGCGCGGCATCAACTCGTCGGCAGCAGGCGCGTCGTTTGTGGCGGCAGCGCACGCTGAGGCTGAGCACGGGCCGACGCTAGCGGACATTCTCAACGACGGTGAGGACGACGACCCGTTCTCTAACTTTACGTATGCCAATCTGGGCGAGCTGGAGCGGCGCAACGACGAGGTTCTTCTCGCGCATTCGTCGTCGGAGCTCAATCTGCTGTTGGCGAAGCGGTAGCCGCAGTTGTGCGCTTGAGCGCGGCGAGGGCGTCGAGGATGGCGTCGACGTGTGTAGAGGTGTAAAAGAGGACAGTACTGGCGTGGCCGCCGAGGACCTCGACGCGGGCGCTCTCGACGGTTCCGGGCGCGTTGACGAGCGAGTCAAAGAGGCGGAGGGACGAGTCACGAGGGATGTAGTGATCATGCGGAGCTGAGATGTGGCGGATGACCCGGGCGGCGCCGGTGGCCTTGGCCGGAAACTCGGTGACCATGGTAGTAGAGATGCGGCGGAGGAGGACGACCATGAGGTTGTCCTCGGACTTGCCGCCGTGGGCGTCCCAAGGGACGGACCGGGCCATGGCGCCGTCAACAAAGGCCGGCGCTGGCGAGTGCGAGCCGGCGGTGGTGACGACGGCCGACGAGTCGTGGTCGAGCAGGTTTGCCATCGACGACATGGCGCCGCCCCACGAGACGCCGGCGTAGCAGACGGCCGAGGCGCCGGTAGAGCGCGCCCATTGCGCAGTGGCGAGGGCCTCGACGATGACGCCTGTTGCCTGGGCCATCATGGCCTCGACGGTCGGCACGCCGTAGGAGCCGGTCCAGCCGGGAGGCCGGCGGTCACCGTAGTACGGCGCGTTGATGATAGCCGACGAGATGCCGGCGGCGGCAAGCGGCGCAGAATACTTGGAGATGCGGAGCTCGGGCCCGATGTCGCCCGTCATAGGGCACAGGATGGCGATGGGACGGGCAGCAAGTCCGGCGGCGAGGGCGTCAGCGAGCACACTCGGCTCGGCGTCGTGCGGCGGCGGCGCGAGGTGAGCGTCGGCATCGGTGGGCGGCCAGGGGACGACAACGTCAACGACGGCGGCGCCGGTACCGGGCTCGAGCAGCGGCGAGGCGGGAGTGGAGAAGGAGATGCGGAGGCAGAGCGCCGATCCGTGATGGATGAGACCACCGGCAGGCCCCCAGGAGATTGCGAGTTCGTCGGAAGGCGGCAGCGGGGGCGGGGCAGCAGCCATGTCGCGGGTGAGCAGGTCGAAGCAGGCGTCGAAGGCGTGCTCGCAGCCCGGGCCGTCCGATAAGAACGGCTCGCGCGCCCAGCGTGTGGCGAGCAGGTCGAGCAGGCCGAGGGTGGCCGAGACCGACGACCAGACGTATTGCATGTGAGAGTGGTGGTGGTGGTGGTGGTGGTGGTGGTGGTGGTGGTGGTGGTGGTGGTTGGCGTGGTGGAGCTGTGGTCGTCGGCTGGCTTGGCCGAGTTGCTGGCGGCAGGAAGCGAGTCACGGACAATGGCGACCGAGGCGTCGATCCAGGTGGGATCGGCGTTGAGGCAGGGGACGAGAGTGAGCTTACCGCCACCGGCCTCGGCAAAGACTTCGGCTGAGACCTCGCCGATCTCGTCGATGGTCTCGAGGCAGTCAACGAGGAAGCCCGGGCAGACGGCGAGGATGTTGAGCGGGCCATCACCGGTCCAGGCCTCGGCCAGCTCGACGAGCAGTTCGTCGGTGTACGGCTGGAGCCACGGGTCGGAGCCAAACTGCGACTGGTAGCAGAGATGCCAGGCGTCAGGCGCGAGGCCGAGCTCGGCGGCGACGGCGGCGGCGGTAGCCTCACAGTGGGCCGGATACGGATCGCCGCGGTGGACGTACGAGGCCGGAATGCCGTGGAATGAGAAGAGCGTAAGCTGCGGTGCGTGCTCGGCCGGGAGCGCGGCACGGGTCTCACGCATGCGGCTGGCGATGGCAGAGATGTATGCGGGGTGGTCGTAGTACGGCGGGATGACGGTGATGGCCGGGACGTGGCGGTAGCGAAGGGCGGCGGCGTAGACGGCGTCATAGATGGAGGCCACCGTCGTGCCCGAGTACTGCGGGTAGGCGGTCATGACGACAATGTCCGAGACGCCCTCGGCCATAAAGTGCGCGATGGCGCGGTCGATCGATGGCTCGCCATAGCGCATGCCAAGCTGGACGTCAAAGTCTTTGTCGCCGAGCGCGGCCTGCAGCGCCGTGGCATGCTCGGTGCCGTACAGCAGGAGCGGCGACTTGCCGTCTTCGGAGAAGATGCGCGAGTAGAGCATGGCCGACGAGTACTTGCGAATGGGGACAATGATGCAGTTGAGCACAAACCACCAGACAGCCGGCGCAACTTCGATGACGCGCGTGTCCGAGAGGAAGGCGCGCAAAAAGGTGGCGACTTCTGCCGGCCGCGGCGCCACAGGCGTGCCGAGGTTGGCCACCAGGACGCCGCGGCGCGGCGATGGCACAGGGATCGTACCGTTGTCGCCGGTCGCCGTGGCGTACGGGTTCGACCGCTCAAAGTGGGCCGGCACCACAAAGACACCAGCGCCGAGCACAAAGGCGGCACCGAGCATGGGCCCGGCAAAGGAGATGGCGGCGTCGGCGGCGGCAGTGATGGCCGACGCGGCCGAGGCCAAGAACCCGCCCTGCGGGAGGAGCGGGGCGACGAGATCGACCAGCGGGGTTGGGCCCAACAGAAATGCGAGGCCGGCGAGGGCGGCAGCGAGGGCGGCGTGGCGGGCGAGCGGAACAAACTTGGGCGGGCTCCGCAGCAGCGGCTTGGCCACCACCAGCCGGGCGCCCGGGCAGTAGCCGAGAGCAGCCACAGCAGCGAGGCGGACAAGCCAGCCGAAGCTTGCATCACGCGGAGTGGGCGGAAGGCCGAGCGGGAGCGTGGCCGGCGGCAGCCAGCGCGGCAGCCAGAGAACCCACAGTGCAGCGCCCATCGAGGCGTAGCTGGCGGCGAGGACGAGGCGAGCCGCGAGCGGGCGGGCCGGGAGGGCCGACGGCGGGACGATGACGGTGGTGTGGGGCATGGGTGGTGTGGTAGCGATGGCGTGCTGTGGTGGTGTGGTGGTGGTGAGTGAGTGAGTGAGGTGGTACCACTTGCCGCTGGTGGTGTTATTGGTTGAGCCAGTGCTTACGTGCTGTCGTCAGCGGTGTGGCCGTGGCTGACGGCGGGGATCATCCGCTGTTCCACCGCCGGGTGAGGGTTTGGGGTTTGGTGGTTTGGTTGGGGGGGAAGGGGGGAAGGGGGGGAGGGGGGAGGGGGGGGGGGGGGTGGCTGCCGAGTGGCATTCTTCTCTGCAGTTGTGGGAGTGGCAGGCCATGTCTACACCGGTACGGGGGGAGTATGGGGATAATGAGGAGGGAAGGGGGTGGGGGTGGGGGGTGGGGGGTGATGGGGGTGATGAGGGGGTGGGTAGGGGGTGTGTGGGAGGAGGGGAGGGCGCAGTGGGAGCAAGTTGTCGTGGGCACCACTACCCCGCCACCCCACCACAGCCACCCCACCACAGCCACCCCACCACAGTCACCCCACCACAGCCACCCCACCACAGCCGGTACGACAACCATATCCACAACACATGCATCCGGTACAATCACTCACTCTACTTGTCCTGCATGCCCCGTACTGGAGTTCAGAACCCGCCTCCCGTCGGCCCTGCCAGGCAGCCGCGCAAGCTAGACGAAGACGAGGTGGGCCTCATCTCGGTCATCACTGTCTTTGTCGCCGTCCTCGCCATGGCGGCCATTGTCACCTTTCTCGTCGGTTGCTTTCGCTCGTACTTTTACAAGCCGTTCGCCCGCCTCGAGGCCCGCAACGAAGCGGGTCGCCAGCGCCGATCTGCATCACGGCGCAAGGGCTCGCGCAAGAGCTCGCGCAAGAGCTCGCACAAGAGCTCGCGCAAGCGCTCGCGCAGGCGCCACAAGGGCCGTCGCCGCAAGCAGGAAGTGTGAGCCGCATGCTGTGCCGGCCTATCACCTCAAGTCCACACACTAAACGCCACTGTTGGCGATGCCAGCGCCAGGCTCTGCCTCGGCGTTGCCGCTACCGCCGGTGCCAGACGCCCCGCTCTCGCTAGGCGCATCTTCGCCGCCATCGGGCGCATCGCTGTCGTCCTTGCGCTTGAGCCACGGCGCGAGGAGCGGGTGTTCCCAGAGCTGGCGAGCGACAACCTTGAACTTGCGACGGTAGGTCTTGAGGATCCCGTCCTTGCGCATCTTGAGGACCCGGAGGCGGAACTGGAGGCGAACCTTTTCGTCGGCAAAGGCCGCGACCTGCTCGGGCGTGGTGTGGTCCTGGTTGCGGATGATGGTCGCCTCTTTCTCTTTGAGAAACTGGCGAATGCGGGCCATCTTGGACTCGATGATGAGGACCTGCGAAATGATCCGGTCGCGGTGGAACTCGAGGGCCTCGTTCTTGACCGCGTGCGCCTCTGCCGCCGACGTCGGCAGCTTGCCATGGAAGAAGACACTGAACGGGTCGTCGGCAAGCTCTGGCGGTACGTCCGACGCCCGCAGTGCCGCCGCTGCCGCCAGCGAGTCTGCCCCGCGGTTGACCCGCCGCCGCCGCAGCGTGTCGTACACCGAAATCATCAGCAGCGTCCGCTCGCGCTCCTTCTCGCGCGCAGCCAGAATGGCCTTGGTCTCGACGGCAGCGCCGAGCACGGCCTTGATCGCCGCTTGTTCCGCACGGAGCATCGCTACGTATCGGATGTACAGCTCGTGCGAGCCGAGTCCTGCTGCCGCCTGCCGCGCCGACGTCTGCTCCGGCTCACAGTAACCATCGGCTGGCTTCGGCGGAAGCTCGTCCTTGTCGAGCGGCAACGAGTCAGCAAACTTGTGCTTGCGATACGCAATGCGTGACGGGTAGATGTGCCCGCTAATGAGGTGAAAGACCTCGGTCATCTCGCCGGCCACGACTGCAAACGTCCGTCGCGCCACGTCGTCGTCGGCGTCGACAATCTCGGCTCGCCGCGACAGCGTCTCCTCAACGCCCAGCAGCGCCTCGTCCGATGGGAGTACCTCGAGCGGGCGGGTGGCGAGAAGCTCGACCCGGTTACTGGCAAACTTTGCCTCTCGCCGCAGCACGTGCTCGCCGCCGAGAACCGCCGACGACGAGACCGCAGCAAATCGCTCCGTCATCGCCGAGCCAACAGCCACCTCGCGCGTGACCAGGTCATCGTGCGAGTCGCGGCCTTCGGCGTAGAACTCCATCTTGTACCTAGCCACCTTGATCCGCATCCGCCGCGCTTTGCGCTCGGTCGTCCGCGCAATGCTACACACGCCCGGCTCGCCACTCACCGTCAGCGTCCGTAGGCCGTGCTCGCGGCCCGGTGCAAAGTGTTCCACAAACGATTCGGCTGAGTCCAGCGACGCCGCCGTCACATGCTCGGAAGCTGGGACGTGGACATGCATCTCGCGCGCCATCATCCTGTCGCGCCGCGCATGGAACTTTTCGTCCACCGAAAGACAATCTCGCAGTCGCGATCAGCAAAGTGCGTCAGCCGCTCGACCATGCCGTCCGACCGCAGGAACGGCCCGTACTGCTCCACACGGAGCCGCGAGTAGAGCGCCACCTTGTAGCCACCTGGATACCGCTCCTCAAACCGCTTGCGTTCTGGCGCCAGCGGCAGGACCCACGTCGGCGGCGCCGTCAGCGCACGCAGCGGCGTCCCATCCGGCGCCAGGTCGTCGCTTACTTCGATGTGTACATCGTCGAGGCTCGGTGCTGATGGACCAAACGCATCGATGCCGGCTGCCTTGGCCAGCACGTGGTCCTGAGCAGCTTGCGCCACTCGCCGCTTCAGCTCCGACTTTGCTGTCGTGGCTTGAGTCGCTAGCGCCGCGCCGCTTGCGCCACCCATCCCGCTCCGGCCAGGCCCAAAACCGGTCTCGTGCCCATCGCTCACAAACACCGGCTCCCACGCCGCCATCGAGTCGAGCGCAAAACAGAGCCCACGAATAGAGGGAAGACCCTTGTGAAGTGGCGGCACCGGCTGGACATTGACGTAAAAGTTGGTGTCGTTAAAGACAGCCTCGATCGAGTGGTACAGCCGGGTCGAGAGCGGAAGCAAAAGGCCGCGCGATGGCTCGATGAATACGTCTTGGGCCACGCCGCGCGCGCCGGCTTTGACAAGCACCCATGCGTGGACCCGCTTCCCGCGCAGCGCATCGCTCTTGTCGGACGCCGTCAGCCGCAGTGGCTGCGCGTAGCCGACCTCAAATGTGAGCCCGTTGCGCGTCTCAGACTCGCCTCCAGCGCTCGACTCTGCATCACTGGCTGCCATACCCACCGTCGGCGGAGCGACCTCTGCTGCAGCGGCCGCCGCCCGCTTTGCTGCCATTCGCTCTTCAAACTTGGACACCAGCCGCGGCCGGGTCTGGACCACAAACTTGGGCGTCGTTGGTGGAGCAGCCGCCGGAGGCGGTGGCGGCTTTGGGCCGAGGCCGGGCCAAGTCGCCGAAAACGTGTCGTTGACCGTGATCGAGTATGCGGCGGTGCCGTAGACAACGTACGCGTCGTAGCCGACGCCAAGAAGGAGCGAAGTGAGCACCATGGCAAGGTCAAACGAGTCACCAACTTGCCACTCGAGCACCGTGGCAGGCGACGGAAGGTGCTGCGGGAGCTTGGTTGGCTCGGCCAACGGTTCGTAGATAAAGTGATCGGCGACAAAGGAGGCAACGCCCTCGAGCGAGTACAGCTCATCGTACGGCGTCTGCGACGGCCGCAATGTTGAGCACACAAACTTCTCCACCTCGCACTCGTTCGGCGGCGTGAGCAAGAGCCGCGGCCGCAGCGGATAGAGCTGCGCAAACTGGCGGTCAAAGTTATCGACAAAGCCCATGACAATCTGCTCCTCGCGCGAGTGCTTGCGGTACGCCACCGGCCACGTGCGGCTCTGGCTCAGTTGGACCCGGGTCTGCTTGGAGAGCCCAGCCATTGCAGGCATGACGCCGACCATATCATCAGCTTCACCGCCGGCGCCCAGCGCCGACGACCGCTTCCACGACAGAAACTTGCCGCCCACCACCCGCGGGCCCTCGTCGCCGTCGAGCGCGAGCGACGCACCCGACGCATCGAGATCACCCACAGACGGCCCAGCAGAGCCCATCAAGAACGAGTTGAGGTTGATGGCTGCCATCGATCGATTGGCCACTTCCTCAGAGTCGGCCCGCATCGCCTCGGGCCCAATCGCAAACGCGAGCCGCGTCCGCGCCTCGGCCTCGCCGAACTCGGCCACGTCGCTCACAGCCTCATCGTCACCGGTTTGGAAACTGTTGAACGAGCCCCCATCATCACTCACACCCTCGCCCTCGCCCTCACTGCCACCATTGGCAGCGTTCCGCACGGCATCTTGAGCCTGGTCATTGCCGAGCGCCGCAGCCGCCGCTGCTGCAGCGACGTCATCTGCAGCGGCATCATCTGCGACGGCGTTGCCAGCGTCAGAGTCGTCGATGCCGTCGGCGGCAGGGTCAGTCCGAGGCTTGGTCTCAACTCCAGCTCTCGCTCCACCACGACCACTCTTCGATCGTTGCGCAGCAGTTGCGCCCTTTGTCCGCCCGACCCCGTTGCGTCGGCGGCCCGCTCTTGCCCCGCCTGCGCCGCGCTTCCCTCCGGCCGGAGGTGGTCCGACCCATACATCAGCCATGGCACCAGTGCGAGAAAGAGAGAGAGAGAAAGAGAGAGAGAGGGTTTGTGTGTTTTGCTCTCCGAGTGGATACGGGTGGGTGTGGGGGTGGAGTGTGGGGGTGGGGTGTGGTTGCCTTTCCTCACAGAGCGGAGCAGCCAAAGCGGCGCCAACTGCCGGCCTCCAACGCCCGTGCCCACCCAACGACCAGCCGACAGCAGACACAGCCACACCCCACCCTCCCCACCTTCCTCACCCACCCCTCCCCACCCCAACTGCACTCGCCAGTCATGGCTGCAGAGCGACGGGCGCGGGTGGTTGGCATGCCAGAGCCGGTGTTGGCCAAGCTGGAGCCGTAGTACGTTGGGCCGAGAAAGGCCATGCTCTCTCGCCCCCTCCCCTCCCCCTCCCGCCCTCATCCACCAACCCATCCACGCGCAACTCACCATCGGTTCTCATCCATCGCCTCCGGATGCGTACTCGCCTCCTCCCCCTCCACACAGCCATGTATTCGGAATCAACTCGGCAGTGCGGCAATGCCTGGCGTATGCTGACGAGCACAAGATGGTATACCCAGCCGGGCGGCGGGTTGTGGTCGCCGATCGGGCTGCGGTTGAGTTTGTGGCCACCGATCACGCCGTCCGCACGATGGGATGTCTTGCTCTTGCCCCGGATCGTAAGCATCTGGCGGCGGCAGAGCTGGACGCCGGTGGGCGGGCGCAGATCTCGGTGTACAACTTGTCGACCAACCGCCGTGAGCGAGTTCTCCGCGTTCCTGATGTGGACGCCATCACTACGCTTGCGTTCTCCTCCGACTCGCGCTACTTGGTGGCGGTTGGTGCCGAGCCCGAGTCCAAGCTGGTGTACTTTCTGTGGAAAAGTCCAAGGTCATCGCCTCGATCAACCTGCACACTTCGGTGCTCAGGGTTGCGTTCTCGCCGTTTGACACCAACACGGTGCTGGTGGTCGGCGGGCAGTATTTGCGATTGTGGCGGCTGGCTCACGACGAGCTGCACTCGCTGCTCCCGGTTGTTACGCCATCGCTACAGGCCTCGCCAGGCGCGGTCAACACCGATGCGGCGTGGTTCCACGGCGACGCGTTCTGCGTTGCCAACGATCGCGGCGAGTTGGTAGTGTACGAGGCCGGTGAAGCGACTCGCCTCCTACCGGACGTCTTTCCCACCGGTATCTCAACCGTTGTCCCGTACCGCAACGGCGTACTTGTTGCGTCAACGACCAAGGCGTTCAAGTTGTACGAGGAGAACCTTGAGACAGGCGAGCTCGAGCTTCGCAAGTCGCTTGTGTGCTCGCTCGACTCATCGCGCTATGACGACGTGCCGCTGTGGATGGCGGTCTCGCCGACAGGATCCGAGGTGGCGGTTGTCCTCTCGTCATCGCAAGTGCTCTGCATCGCCATGTCGGGCCTCGACCTCTCGTCGCCCGAGATGAGTCCCGAGGAGGAAGACTCGTCGTTTGCACTCCTCGCCTCGGGCTTTCACTCGGGGGCCATCCTTGACGTCGACTGCGCCATTCGCAAGCCGCTTCTGGTTACGGCAGGCGCCGACCGCACCCTCCGAGTCTGGCACTACATCGACATGCAGTGCACCAACTCGATCCGGTTCCGCGACGAGCCGCTTGCTGTGGCCTTTCACCCTCTTGGCCTTCACGTCCTCGTTGCTTTTTCCGAGGGCGTCTCCATGCTCGCGGTCCTTGCCTCGGGCTTTCGGGTTGATCACGTGTTCAAGGTCAAGTTTGCCAAGGTCCTCCGCTTTTCTACCAATGGCGCGTATTTTGCCGCTGCCTCAGGTGCCACCATCCTCCTCTTCTCGTCGACAACGCTCAGCCTTGTCGGCAAGCTTGATGGTCATGTCCGGCCGGTGGCCAATCTGGCTTTTCTGGCCAACGACATGATGCTCGCATCTGCCGCCGGCGATGGCGCTATCTACTACTGGGACCTGGTGACCATGACCCGCGCAAGCGTCGCCTCGTCGCTGGTTTTCAAGGACGTTGCCTTTCATGACATTGTGGCCCTGCGCACCGTCCCACGCCGCGAGGCCGACGCTGACGCCGACGCCGACCTAGCGGTGCATGGCACATGGGGCGCTGGCAACTCGATCGCCGCCACACAGGTCGTAGTCACCGGCAACGACCGCATTGTCCGCCTCTGCGACGCTCAGCGGGTGGTCTCCGAGCACCGGCCGGGCCACTTTGGCATGACCTCACTTGCTACCTCAGTCTTTACCTACGAGCGAACGACCCGGCTTGAAGGTGGAGGGGTGGCCTTGCTTCAGGATGAGCTTGCCCGCGGCGACGACGCCGACGTCGTCCACGATGGGTCAAGCACCGAGCTGGCGCTCCATGGCCAGCGACTGGATACGCCGCTGACAGCTGTGGGCGAGGTGGTTAAGGAGTCACTCACTGCTCATCTGGTGTTTGGAGCGTCGAGCGACGGCAAGATCCGTATATTTGACGCACCGTACTCGATGATGGATCCTGTGAGCATGCAACTTCACAGCGGAGGCGTGAACAAGCTTGTGGTGAGCCCCGACAATAACCTGCTCATCTCGGTCGGCGCCACAGGCTGCATCTTCCTCTCGGCCATCCGTCCAGTTGTGGACGGCAAGGTCCGGCCACGGCGGCTGCCTGTGCCGGAGCGGTTCTCCGACCTTCTCCTCACAACGACGAATGCCTTTCAAGAGCTTCTTAACTCTGTTTTCACACTCGAGAAGCGGCTTGCCGACTCGGCGAATGCTGCAGAGTATCAGCTGCAGGCCGAGGCGCGCAAAGCCGAACAGCACCTCGCGAACATGCTGCAGGAGGAGCGCAAGCGCGAGCTCGACCAGCGTGAGATGTATGCCGAGCTGCAGGCCATCCACGAGTCGCGAGTCCGCCAGTTCAACGCCGAGAAGCGCAAGCAAGAGGAAGAACACGGCCGCGAGCTGCGGGCGCTGGTGGAGAAGCACGGGCGCGAAATGGCCCGACAGAAAGAGCTGTTGGCACGTGTGCGCGAAGAGTACGACGAGGCCCTCACTGATGCCGAGGACAAGAGTCTGCACTTGGAGGAGGAGCACAAGGCCGTGCTGGTCCGCATGCGACAGGACTACGAGGCCAATCTGGCCACGCAGCTCGCGGCGTTTGACAAGCTCGTCGAGGAGCTCGAGCTCAACGACCTCGAGCACGCCGAGATTTTGCGGCAGGTCGCCGAGGACCACGACGACGAAGTCATGGAGATGAAGAAGGTGCAGGAGGTGATCAAGACGGCTGCATCTGAGAAGACGGTCCAGCTCACTGATGACCGCGCCTTGCTCAAGATGCAGTACACCGACGCCGTCAAGGAGCGCGACGCGCTCGCGGCCGAGAACGCACGACTCCACACGCGGGCTGACACGCTCCGCGGCGAAATTACCGAGCTCGAGCGCCGTCTCTCGCTCCTTCGGGTCTCAGTCCACGAGCGTGACGAGATCATTGCCGACAAGGAGATGCGCATCCTGGAGACCAAGAAGCTCAACCAGGACCTCGAAAAGTACAAGTTTGTCCTCGACTTTAAGAACAAGGAGCTAACCAAGCAGCTCGAGCCCAAGGAGCAGGCGCTCGTCGAAATGGCGCAGCGGCTCAACTCGATGGACGAAGAGCTGCAGCGGAATGTCAAAGAGGTCGACAACCTCTCGCTCATCATCAAGGAGAAGGACAAGAAGATGGCCATCGTCCAACGCGACGCCGCAAACATGCACCGGGCCCTCAAGGCCCGCATCCGAGTCCAAGAGGCGATGGAGAAGGACTTGCACCAGCTCTACACCAAAGCCGACCAATCGCAGTGGCGCGAGGGCATTCGCCACATGTATGAGGCGTACGTCTCCAAAGAGGCCCGTGACTCGCTCGACTTTACCGGCGAGGACTCGCGCCTCGAGGAGTTTGGCCGCCAGCGGCTGTTCATGGAGCAGACCATCGAGCGCCTGCGCTCGCAGCAGCAGTCAACCATCTCGCTCAAGACCAGCGAGGTCTCGCGCCGCGCCAAAGAAAATCACTTTCTCATTGTTGAGATCAACGACCTCCGCCGCGAGAACAAGCATCTGGTCAAGCAGCTGCGTGCGCTTCGTGCTGCCGCGGGCGTTCCTCCTGCCGGCTCGACGACAGCCGGTGGTTCCAGCTCGAGTCGCGCCAGTGGGCCTCGCGCAAGTCCGGCCCAGGGCGATCAGGCCCGCAACGACCAGGCCCGTGAGCGGGTCCTCGCCTTTGCCGCCGGCTCCTCGCCGTCGCAGAGTCGCACCCGACAGGGCTCGGCCCGGCCCGGCTCCGCTTCCGCCCAGCCAGCGCGGAGCCCGTCCGTTGCCGACGTGCTTGAAGCCGTCTCGCGGCCGCGCTCGATCTCGCCGTTTGGCTCACCGGCCGGTCGTCCGGCGGCCCGCCCGGCCACTGCCGCGGCTGGGCGAAAGCGGCGCGGACCGAGTTCGCCGCTAATGGGCTCGTCCCGGGGTCTCACCCGGCGAAAGTCGCGCAAACACTGAGCAGAGCGTAAAGTGCAGCAAGAAGAAGGAGGCTAAAGAGCCATGTCGGGACCTTGATCGGAGCCATTGCCCAAGCAATAGCCGGCGCATCGGTCGCGGCCGACTCGTCGCGCCGGCCGACGGCCGATGCCCTGGCCGAGGGAGTCGGGAGCGAGCCGAGGTCGTGGGCGGCGGCAAAGTCAATGACGGCAATCGAGCCGGTCCGGAGTCCGACCACGATCGACGTCGGGTCAAACGCCAGCGAGAGCGGGTTGCCGAGACCAGAGTTGGTTGCTGGATCCGGAAGCGTGAGGGTGTGCAGGAGCGTGCCGTCGAGCCGTGACCAGACCCGGACGGTGCCGTCGGAGGAGCCAGAGGCGATGAGCGACCCGGCCATGGCAACAGCTGACACAGTCCGAGTATGGCCCTCAAGAACAGCCAGCTCGAGCCCGCTCGCCACGTCCCAAACCCGCACCGTCCGATCGCCCGAGCCAGAGACAACTGTGGTAGCGTCAAAGGTGACGGCAGAAACTGAGAGAGGAGTATGGCCGGGAAAAGCCTGGACGAGCCGCGGCGGTGAGACTGAGAACATGGCAATGTCCTTGCCGGCTGACACAATGGCCGATCCGTCGTCGGCGACGGCGAGCGAGCGGACCGCGTCCTCGTGTGGCGTCTCGTCTAGCTCGAGCTCATAGTTTGCGGTGCCGGCCTCGTCGAGCACGGGTGTGCCGTGGACAAGTGGAACATGGAGGATGCGGACATCGCCGGACGAGGTGCCGAGCGCAATGCGAAGGCCGGAGCTGGCCCGCCATGCCCGCATCGCTGTCAAATTAGTGTACGGCGTGCGGAGGCAAGCCAGCAGCGAGCGAGACGGCAGATCCCAGATGTTGATGGCGCCGTCGTGGATGCCGACAACCAGATCGCCGCCGACGGCACGAAAGTTATTCGGGCCGGCCGAGAGGCGGCGGAGGACGTCAACCTCGGCCATGGCACGCAGATCCCACCGGCGGACGACGTTGTCAAAGCCGACAGAGACCAGGAGGCCCGAGTCGGTGAGGCGATCCAGGCCCCACACCCCGCCGGTGTGGCCCGTGAGGAACCGCAGCGCGCAGCGGCCGGCCGACCAGTTGGCGCGGATGCGGGCAACTTCGCGGTAGGTGTGTCGCCATCCGACCGCCGCTGTCAGCGGCGCAAGCGCAGGAACCAGCGGATCGCCCGGAAACTCGCGATGTGTGGCCGCTCGCCACGGGCTATTGTCCGCTGCCAGGCGGTTCCAGTTGGTGCACGTCTGTGCCGCCGCCGCCAGCGAGGCCACGTCGAGATGGGAGAGAATGTGGACGCAGAGTTCGTCGGGCAGTGTTTGTGTAAAGTCGGCCATGGTGTGGGAATGGGCAGGGGGTTATGCGTGCGTGGTGTGTGAGATGGCCGGTAGGCTACCCAGTTCAGGCCCAAATGGGGTGCGGTGAATGGGCTCGGGTCGGACTGGGCCATCATCGGTGGTGTCACTCGGTGGCTTCACAGGCGCAAGCGCGGGTGGCACCCTGCTCTCTCTCTCTCTCTCTCTCTCTCTACCCACTTTTGTCACCATGGGCCGCCTCGCCAAGCACCGCAAGCTCAAAAAGTTTGACCTGTACAAGAGCGCCCGCAAGGGTCCGACTCCTCCGAGCCAGAGAGAGGGTACGTGGTGGGGAAGTGGAAGGTGTGTGGGAGGGGGGTGGGAGGGGAGGGGGGGCGGGGGGGGGGAGGGGCAGGATGGCCAGCGGAGATGGATGGTAGTCAGAACGGGTGGGCTTGGGACTCATCGGCGGAGAGGGTTATGGGGATTGTGTGGAACGATGACGGGACCGGGGATAGAGGAGCAACTGCCGCGCAGTCTGCGCAACCTCATGCGTGCACAGCGTGAACACAATGGTGGTGGAAGCACAACGCGCACGGACAGCGACGGTGGAGCGGGCAAGGCTAGGGGCGGCAAGGGCGGCAAGGGCGACAAGGACAACGGAAAGGGCGGAAAGGGTGGCAAGGATGATGCTTACTCGCGCGAGAACTTGTTCTACGCCGCGTTCAAGGCGGCGACGAAGCGGAAGCAGAAGACCAAGGCGTACTTTGACAAGAAGAAGGCCGAGAAGGCGGCCGAGGCGCAGGCACGGGCCGAAAAGGACGCGCAAGTGGCCGAGAAGGCGAGCGCACGGCGGAACAAGTACCGCAAGGCTGAAGAGAAGGCGCTGGAGCAGGCCGAAGCCGAGGCCGCGTCTGTCCTGCGCGGAACTAATGAGGCCGATCTCCAGCTGAGCGCCCGTGAGGAGGCCGAGGTTGCCGAGCTTGAGGAGCTCAACGAGGCGCGGCGGCAACTGGTCCACGGCCCAGACAAAGATTTTGACGACTTTGTCGACGATGTTGCCTTTGGCGAGCACGCGCAGACCGTTCCCAAGCTCAACATCCCGACCAAGTGGAAGACGCGGGTCTCGGAGGCCCGCGAGAGTGAGGACTCGGCCGTCCACCGCAACGTCGCAATTGTCAACTCGGCGCTCGGTGCGGCATCTGAGGAGCGGATGACGCAGCGCCAGGCCCGCAAGCGGCGCCGAGCCGCCGAGGCTCTCCGCATCGCCACCCACAACGAGACCCAGGCTGCTCGTGCAGCTATGGAGTCGGAGGAGTCAGCTCGAGCTGCTAAGCGCGCCAAGCGCGAGCGCTCGCGCGCAGCGAAGAAGGCTGCCAAGGCCTCGCGCAAGGTCGCTCCCGAGCATGTCCGCTCGCAGGTCCAGGCCCAGTACCGTATGATGCGCCAGCTGCAGGCCCAGCGTCGCGCCCTTGGCCAGTAAACGTTCTCTCTTGCACACAGCATCGCTGCCCCGTCCTATGATACCCACCTCAAGTCGTAGCCATGCAGGACCCGATCGGGTGGCGCGCGGCGCCCGCACAATGTGGCATCATAACGGTTTTGCGTTGTGGTGTGCACTTTATGACGCGCCCGAACAACCGCACTGTGACGAGTTATGGGCTGATCTTGCGACGGCGCACGCGCCGCCGCTGCTGGCTTGACGACGGACACGACGACGACTCTGTCGGCGTTAGCGTCCGCCTCCGCGTCTGCAAATTACCCGACGACAATCGTGACGACGACTCGGTCGGTGTGAGCGTCTGCCTCCGCGTTTGCAAACTGCTTGACGACAATCGCGACGGCGTCCGCGCCGCAACCTGAGCTTCAAAAATGGCGTTGAGATCATCACCAAGCTCGCGGTCGAGCTTGTCGTCAGGTTGAGTGAGAGATACAAGCGATATCGACGACATGGGTGGAACAAACTCGGGCTTTGGCTTGAGCTTGATGGTAGACCGCCGCTTGCGACGCCTCGTTGGGCTCGCCTGTTCCGAGCGAATACGCGAGAGTCGCCCGACATCGGCGATCTCGCCCGAGATCTCACTCGAGACGTTGCCCGAAGTGTTGCCCGAAACGTTACCCGAGGTAGACCGTCTGCTGATCCCGGCCCGGGCGGCTCGAGTTGATCTCTCGCGCCTGAGACGGCCGATACTCGTCAACATGGTTATGTTGCGCTTGAGCTTCCCACGGCCAGCAGCCGGAGGGTGGAGCGTCGGAGACGACTTGGCCTGAGCCGCCGAGGCGTCGTCAACGATGCTGCAGGCGGTACCGGCTCGCGAGAGCGAGCTTTCGTCCATCTCGTTTGATGCCATTCCGAGATCGCCGTCCGAGTCGAGAACAACGTCGAATGCGGTTCGGGTCAGTGACACAGAGCGTTGGCGTTCTGGCTGGTCCTTACTTGACCCGTCTGCCATCCCGGTCATCGCAGGCGCGGCGGCAACGGACGCTGTCCCGGTCAGCCCAGCTTCGACCGTGTGGACTCTGGCCAGTGCTTGCGTCCGCCGTAGCATGTTCCACACTGCTAGCGTGAGCGCAAAGCTCGAGAGTACGACCACAATCGCGAGCGCAATCAGAAACAGCAGCCCGCCAGACGTCTCGCGCCACACAAAGTACAAGATCTTGGCGCACGAGAACAAACCTGTCGCAAACGAGAGCATCGTGTGCAGCTTGTCCTCAAACGGATCCACAAGTGCCATCAGCACAAGGTTGAGCGAGAAGTTGAGCACTGCCGCAAACAGCCGCGTCGCAGGCTCGACGATGAATACCGTCTCACTCGCAAACGCCAGTGTCACCACAAACTGCAGTGCCCGGAACCACTGCCGCCCAGGCCTGAGCCCGCGGATGAGCACACCGTACCGCTCCCGCAGCAGCTCGCGGACGTGAGCAGACCGCGATACTGCATCCGCCCGCAGGCCCATCGTGAGTGCAAAGGCCGGAAAGCCGGCGCAGAAGAGCACAACCATCGGCCAGATCATGACCGACAGTGCGAGGTGTGTCCCCTCATAGCACCGGACAGGAAGCTCGACCGCAAGCCGCAGCGAGCCGTCGCCGACTCGGACGCAATACACGCCCTGTAGCGATCGCACGCACACCTGCAAGTATGCGATCGCAGCCAAGATAATCATGGCGTGCACGAGCCGCGCCCGGAATGACACGACCACAATGTCACCCTTGGCATCGTGCGCCACGACCAGGGCTTCCTCCTGCTGTTCCACCTCGGCGATCGATGGGAAAGCGGCCTTATCTCCGTTTCGCCGCTTGCGACGGCGACGTCGGCTCTTGCCACGACTAGCCACAGAAGGAAACTCCGGTAGCTCGACCAACGAGATAGCATCAGACTCACGGCTGGCATAGAGGATCGAGTTGCGTCGCTCGCGCGACTCGGAGACGGTGATGACCGGCACGTGGTCGCGGGATGACGACGTCGATGACGAGGTTGAAGATGACGATGAAGATAAAGTTGAAGAGTGGCTCAGTATCGAGCTCGGGCTTCCAAGAGAGTCCGAGGACTCGGAAATGAGCGAAATCGCAGAAAGCTGTCCGACCGGCAGTCGCATCCGCTTTGTGACGATGCGCAGGAGAACGGCAGTGACAAAGACACACGCAGCCATGGCCATGAGGGCGAGCGTTCCCACGTAAACCGTCACAAACGAGATTCGCGGCACGGTGCATCCAGGCCGGACCGTCTCCACCTCAAAGTTGATCGTCGCCGCAATTCGCACAAGTGCTGCTGCCCACGCCGGCGTCGACTCGTCGTCAAGCTGCTGCAGTCCGATACGAGACGCCATCGCCACCTGCTGCACCAGCAGTAGCGTTGAAATGCCCTGCACCAGCCGCCGCGCCGACAATGTCGCAAGCGACGTCGCAACAATCGCCACAAAGGCTCCCGCCGTAATGACTACAATCGCAAGATCCGCCCGCGCGGAGTCGTCGCTTCCGCACGACCGACACACGCCGTTGTCAGCAAAGTACCCACTCGCGCACACCGCGCAAAACTCACCCGCGTAGCCCTCAGCGCACACGCTTGTCAGCCGCGTTCCGTCCGGCGCGTTGATCGGCGACATCCGGCGCCGCCTACGGCTCCAGGGCATGCCTGTGCCACTCGACACCGCGTCGGTGGCGTTTCCTCATTTGGTGACCAGTAGCCAGGCAGCGGCCACATCCGCGACCCGCCCGGACAATATGCCCCGGGAAACTTGGTGCACGACTGGCACCTGCCGTCGTAGTGCACCGATCCAGGTGCAAAGCAACCATGGTCAACAATTTGCAGCAGGCCGCCCAGGCCAAACACGCCCGCGGTTGCACCGCTGCTTGCATTGTACCGCCTCAGCTCGAGGTCCATGTACCCAGTGTAGTTGGTACTTGGTGAGGTAAAGACGAGTGCATGGCGGTCGGCGCTCCATTCGACCGGGACTTCGACAGGTGCAGGCGCGTCCGGCGCGCCGACATCGGCCGAGAGCCGGAACGAGAAGGTAGTCCGCGCCAAGAACTCGGCCTGGGAGTGCCAGAGCACGTGGAGGAGTCCGCCCTCCAGCGGAGCCGACGACGGCGCGAGGAAGAACTCAGCAGGGGTCGGCGACGGGGCGATCGACGGCGGTGGTGGTGGAGGAGGCGGCAGTGGGGACGGTGGCGGAGGTGGGGGTGACGGCGGCGGTGGGGGGGTGGGGGGATGGCGGTGACGGCGGTGGTGGTGACGGCGGCGGCAATGTCGGTGAGCAAGCCAGTCCAGCCACAGGTGGCATGTATGATCCGTCGACGAGACAGACGACCTCGCCACTCGGTGCGCCAGACAGATACATACCGCCGGTACATCCCACAGTCACAGCCTCGCTCACCGCCGCAAAGTTGGCTCCGGTGCGCGCGTTGCTCGCGGTACCCGACGCAAACGTCACAGGGGGGCACACCTCGTAGTAAGTCAGGTGAATGTTGATGGGCAAAAAGATGCGGCACGTACCAGAGCACGTTGACCCATCCTGTGCCATCCTGAGCACCAAATGGTCTTCGTCAAAGTTAGACTCCTCCACAAGCGCGCTGAACATGCTCGCGATGTTGCTGCTCGAGACGACCACGTTGTTACCAGACGTTGCTGCGATCGAGATCGGCGCCGAAAACGAGAGCGTTGAGAGCGCCCCGTTGTCCGTCCACGGCGAAACTGTGAGCGGCTTAGAGATCTCGGACACCGCCTCCAGTGAGTACGAGACCAAGAGCGTCGTCGCAGAATCCAGCTGGAACTTTTGAAACTCCAGGCTCGTTGTGCCTGGCTCGAACCAGTACCGGCCGGTGGTAGAGGAAATGGCATTTGCGCCAAAGGAAGCACCGAGAGCGAGGTTATACTCGTCGATCTCGTACTTTGTGCCTGAAATAGTGTCATACGCGCCACCGGGAATCGCATTGAGGGCCGTGTTGCTGGTACCCACGCTCACAGTGAGGGTCTTGGGCACCGCTGTCGCGTGACAGCTCGACATGACGAGGGCAAGTGCGACGAAAAGAGTCACCACGCGTAACAGCCCATCCGGCCGACTCGCCAGCACGAGCCTTTGCGGTCCTGACCACATAGAATGCGGGCAGGAAGCGGGTGATGTAGGAAGATGGTGGTGTATAAGGGTGGAATGGAATGGGAGTGGAGGGAGGGAGGGAGGGAGGGGGGGGAGACGAGGGGGGTGGGTTCTAGGGGGTGAAGAGTGTGTCTACAACTAGGGTAAGGGGGGAGCGCAATACAAACGCCATGCCGCGGCAACTCGCGGCGAATTTCGGTGAGCATATTGTGTATCCGCTAGTTTCGCAGTTCATTGTTCTGTGGTGAAGCCGGACGAGGCGTGTCCACCAGCATCCTGAAGCATGGTACATCGGCAATGACGGTCGTGATGGAGGCGAGTTGGAGCGAATACTGGTTCCGATGTACGGGGGGGGGGGGGGGGGGGGAGGGGGGAGTGGAGGTGTGCATTCTGTGGTGGCCATCTGCTTGAGCTGCGGCATTGACAGGGGAGTGTAAAAATTGATGCTTCGACTTTTGATTGGCTATTCATTGCCGTAAAGGGTTGATTATTTGTGGCCGCTGCGAGAAATCTGGGGTGCGGGACTGTGCCGAGCGGATGCGAGAACATGCCCAGTGCCAGTGCCCGAGCCTCATCTGATGCCAAGCACAGGTGGATCTTATGCAACACTGGCCCAGCTTGCGCGTCTAGAGCTGGTCACGCATTCTTTTATGGTGACGTTGTGCTTGGAGTGGTGACTTGCCCCATCATGGCTTGTTTCGCGCCGGCGATGAGTGCTCGGTCCGGCTCTCCACATCCTTACTGCGCCAGCGTGAGTCCCCATGCGGCATGCAAGCCGCGTCACGCTGAAAAGACCGAGCCAACGACTAAAAGCGATAGTGGGTCAATCCCATGGCGTCGGCAAAGACCTGGTTGGCTTCCGACTCCCACTCGAGCGGCGTGGAGCCCTTGGGGACGAGCGTGCGGAGCGGCTTGGACTTGACCTGCGATACGTACTTTTGAGGCTTGCCGACGGCCGAGAGGAACGGCTCGAACACGTGGTTACGCGGCTCGCGATACTCGTCGTCGCGCTGATCGTCAACGACGCGGACAAGGAGTGACGCGCCCTTGACTGGGACTACCTCTTTGGCGGCCATGGCGTCCTGGAGCACGTCATAGGCCGGCTGGCGGAAGACTCGCTCAAGAATGCCCGCAGAGGGCCGGCCCTGGAACATTGGGATGCGATACGCGCCCGACTGGACGTACTGGTCGCGAGCGGTAAAGACCGGGAGGATGGACCAGCCGCACGGAACAAGCTCACCGCGCTTTTTCTTCTTGAGTCCGACGCCAAAGACCTCAATGACAACGACTAGGTACGGGTTGTACTCGACATTGCGGAAGTTCTTGTATCCGTCGCTCCACCGCGGACAGCGGATGGTCGAGGTAAAGTCGCGCTGGGTGGTAAACTCGGCGCCGGACGTAAGCGGTGTAGTCGGATGGTAGAGTGATGCCGGCGGCGAGAGCGAGAAGAGCGCCGCAGACCAGCCAGAGCCACGTTTGGTAAGGATCTTGGGCAGGTTGAGTGCGCCATCAACAGCAACCCGGAACCCGAGCTCGGGCACGTAGCGGGCAAGAAAGGCGTAGTCCAGGAGGACCTCGGGCGCGTTGGGCTCCGGCTTGAGCCGCTCGGCGAGCCAGACCTGGATTTCGTCGTCATTGGAGAGTGAGCCCATGTAGCCAAGCGGGACAAGAATTTCGCGGATGGTCGTAGCCGCCGTCGCGTCGCTCTCCACCTTGGCCTTGTACAGCTTAGTCTCCGATCCCTCGGGCACTGCTCCGGTCGAGTCGTAAGCTCCGCTCTCGTACGCCGGCGCTGGGACGGCAAGCCCAGCCGCCTCCCATTCGTCCGCGGGGAGCTCGGCCCGTGAGAGAAGCTTGCCGTCCGAGCCGCGTGGCGCCTTGGTGACGCGGACAAGAATGGTGGCGCACGGGACGCGCTTGTGCGACGCCAGCGACTTGCCGGAGAGCGCGAGGTCAGTGTTTGGCCCACCCATGTGCAGCGGGAGCTGGAAAGCACCGTCATTGAGCACAAACTCGGACTCGGAGTGCAACGGCTGATCAAAGCGTGTCGCCGCGTCGACAACTAGGAACAAGTTGAGCGCTGCGTACCCGACGGTAGCCACATTCCCGTTTGTCCGGTCGACGGTGGTTACCTTGACCAGCAACGTCGACGTCGGGTCAAAGACGGCAGCACGGAACGCGGCGTGCGCCGAGTACTTTGGCGAGTACACCGATGCGTCAAGCTCGATGTGCGAGGCGGCAGTGAGGTTGGGACACGGCTGGTCGTACGACGACGTGAAGACCCGCCCCACCGCCCGGGTCACGGTCACGTTGTCAGGAAGATACCTCGCACCATCAATGTACACGTCAAAGCCGTCGCCCGGCTTGACAAATTGGCGTCCGACATGTCGGGCAGCGGGAGCTCGACCCGCATCCAGGCCTTACGTGCCACGCCTGCCACGTCCTCACCCATCAGCGCCGCGTCGGCCGACTCGGGGTTGTACACCTCGAGATAGAGCTTGCCGAGTGGTCCCAGCTCAGCGCCGGGCTCGGGCGGGACCACCATCGGCGGTTCAAAGAGCGCAAGCGTGAGCGAGCCCTCGGCTACAACCAGCTCGTCGTTGGCGTTGTACTGGAAGAGTGGCGTGTACGCCCACGCCACGTTCTGCTCGACGCCCGAGTCGCGCTTGATAATCCGCACAACAAGGAGCTTCGACTCGGAGGCGCGGAGCGGCAGAAACTCGTGCCGCGCGCCCCATGCGAGACTCCCACCAGAGGTCTCGCTCGGCTTGAGGCGCCAAACCTGCGAGGATGCAGTTTTGCGCGACGCGGTCGTCGCCGCCGATGGCGGGCCAGCCCGTGAAACACTGCCCAGCTCGTCAAGTCGCGATATCGAGGCCTCAGCCGCGAGGAGCGTACCACTCGCCAGCGAAAGGCCTGTTGCCGAGACGAGACGGAGGCCGAAAGGCAAGTACTTGCGCGGCGGCTTGGCACCCGACGCTGGCCGCGACGCAGCGCCCGATGTCTGTCGCCTCGAGGCCGAGGCCGTGCCGGGAGCGTTCGTTGGTTGAGCGCCGGCCGGTAGCGGTGGCTGGTCGGCGGCACCCGGTCGGGACGACATGGCCGAATCGACCACGATACCGCTGCCGCTGGTATGGGCCAGCGGCGCGCCCCAGTTGGGTGAGCCAGAGGCTTCGGCCTGTGCGCGTGCATACTCGGCGGCGGTCATGGCCGGGCCGACCGACCACGCCATCGATGTGTAGTTGGAGCGCATGTTCGACGCGTCGAGCTCGAGCGCGTTCTGGTTCTCGATGAACTCGGGGGCAAAGAGCCGGATGTAGAGCGCGGCATGCGCAACCGAGGGCAGCGAGGCGAGTTCGCCAAACGACGTGCCGACGTGGACCGGCGGCGCAAGCAGCGGCACACGCAGATAGCCTGAGTTGAGGATGTGACCGTGCGTGTCGTACGGCGACTCCATAAAGACAGGCACTACCGCCCAGCCAATCGAAGAGACGGTCGGCTCGATGCCAGCCTCGGGATGGCCGTCGTCCTCGACCCGCTGAACCTCGACCATAATGCGAAGGTCCGGTAGAATAGGCACCCGGTGGAAGCGGCGCTTCGAGTCGATGACCGCAATGCGGGCGCCCGGCTCGGCAGCGAGCGGATCCAGCACCGACTCGACGGCGGGCACCGACTTGATCGGCGTCCTCGCGTCGGGCCCGTCAAAGAGGGCAAAAGCAAGATGGACAAGGTGTGCATCGGCTGGCAGGCCGTCGACAAAGTCCCAGTAGAGCGCAAAACCATCCTCGGGGTCGTAGGCGGCCGATCCCATGTCGGCCGGGCCTGCACCACCGGCGGCCGCGTGCATGTCCATCCTCACTCGCGTCGGGTCCGGCGCGTACATGCCCGAGTCCGGAAATAGCGCAGCCTCGCCCTCCATACGCAGCTTATTGAGCTCAATGACGTTGCGGGTCTTCTCCTTCTCAAACTCGAGCATCATCATGTCCTTCAGGTGCTCTCGCTTGAGCGCACGAAGTTCGTCGTCACCGGAGCCCGCTCGGCCGGCCTCGAGCGCCTCCATCTCGCGCAGGAGCTCGAGAACCGAAGCTGACGACCGGCTGCCGCCGCCGCCCGAGCCGCCGCCGGCAGCAGCCTCCAGCCGGCGCGAGATGCGGTCCATTTTGCTGGAAAACTCGTCGCGCCAGCCAGAGCTGCCGCCGTCATTCTCGTTGAGAAACGCCTCCATCTCCTCGGCCAGTCGCATGTTCTCCATCTCGTTGCGGTAGAGCAGGTCTTGCATCGGATCCGCCAGCGCCATCATGCCCGGGTACATCGGTCCGAGGCCCGGGGTGTAGACCGGCGCGGGTGCGGGCATGCCAAAGAACGCCGCCGCTGAGCCCGGCGCTGCCGGCATAACCGGCGGCAGTTGGACTGGGGCGGCGGGGAGCGGGGCTGTCGCCGCCGCTGGCGTTGCTGCGGCGCTTGCCATTCCGCGGGCTTCGCGCTCGAGAGCCTCGATGATCTCCAGCAAGTCGCTACGAGCGCCACCCGAGGCCGTGTACGAGCGCTTGAGACTCTCGATTTCGGCCAGAAGTTCTGCAAGCTGTGGCGAGGTCGGACTTGCGTCCGGCAGCCGCGAAGGTGCTGCAGCAGGCGGAGACAGGCGGGCAGAGCCCGAGCTGGTGGTCGGCCGTGGTGAGGCCTGCGCCTGCACTGGAGCCATGGCCTCGGATGCAGCAGCCAGCGCGCCGGCGGCGGTTCCTCTCGCAAGCGCTCGAGCTCGCGCTGGTGCTTGCGCTCGAGCTCCTCCTTTGTCCGGCGCTCGCGAGCTTCCATTTCGCGAATGGCCTGGAGGCGGGCCTCCTCTTTGGCGTGGACTTGCTGCTCGAGCGAGCGAGCCTTGGCCTTTTCGGCAGCAAGGATCTCTTTGAGCGCATCGTCAGCTTGGCGGTGGGCCGAAGTCAACTCGGTGGCGTAGACGTCTTCGGAGATGCCGGCATCGAGTCCGCCGCGGGTATTGTCGGCCATCTCAACCTCAAACTGATCGAGGTCGAGCGTGGCCGCTCGCTCCTTCTCGAGCTGGCGGGCTTGTGTGGCGCGGAGCTGGCGGAGGCGCTGGGCCTCGTTCGCCTGGCGCTTGGCGAGGTCGTCGACGAGGGCGTCGAGCGGCGGGCCATCGGCCTCGGGATCGGCCGCCTCGAGCTCAGCGAGGCGGGCTAGCAAGCGCTGCTTTTCCTCGAGCAGCTTTTGGTGGCGCGACTGGGCGAGTGCAGACTTTGCGCCGCGCTGCTCGGCGCGCTCCTGACGAACGGCAGCGAGCTTGTCGCGCGGCGAAGCAAGCTCACCGCCGGTGGCCTTGGCCGATTTGCGGACCGGCGACTGCAGGATCTCGTCCATCTGCGCTCGATTCGCGGTGTGGCGGTCGGCGGCCGAGGCGATGCGCGACTGCAGTGCTTCCATCTCGTCTTGGATGGCGGCTTCGCGCCGATCGAGCTCGGCACGCTCGCGCTCGAGCCGACGCAGCTCATCCTCCTTTTCACGCTCAATTTGAGTCAGCCGCGAGCGGTCGATGTTCTCCAACTCGCGGCGGGCGCGCTCGCGGTCCATGCGATCGCGGAGCTCGGTGACCTTGAGCTCTTCCAGCTCCTTGAGCTTGTTGAGCAACTTGGTCTCCTCGGACTGGCGCTCGGAGCGGATTCGTGCCTGCTCGACTTTGAGCTTGCGAAGCTCCTCGACGTGCTCCTTCTGGCGCTGCGAAATGAGGTGGGCGTGCATCTTGTCGACGTCGGTGGCCGACGAGCGGAGAGTGGCGCGGACGTCGCCGACCGCCGACTTGGCAATGAGCGGGTCGCGTTTGCCGTCGCGCGCGAGATGCGCCTTGACAGCCTCAAAGTCAAAGACGCCTGGTCCGAGCTTCTCCCCGGCCCGCAGCTTGGCCTGCAGCGCCTGTGGATCACCGTAGACCGAGTCGACGCAGAACTTGCGCTTGTGGGTGGCGAGCTTGGCCGCCGAGTCGAAGCGCATGTCGCACTCGCGACAGAACAGGTCGAGCTCTGCCGGATCAACCGTTTCCATGTGTGTCTATGTTAGAAAGGGTGGTACTGGTGGTGTGTGGTGAGAGGAAAGGAGGGGGGGGGGGGGGGGAGGAGGAGGGGGGGGACGAAGGGTGAGGTGATGCAGGTGGAGACGGTGAACCGCGAATGAACGGTGGAGGAGGCCGGCGGGTTGGCGGGCGAATTGGCCGGTGGTCGGTGGCCAATCACCAGCGACGGCTGGTGGGCGGCCGGTGGGCGGCTGGTGAGTGGCTAGCGAGTGTTGAGTGATGACCAGTCACCAGTCGCGCACCTTGTCTCTCTCTCTCTCTCTCGTGGTTGGGCATGGCGTACGTTGGGGCACAGTTGGTGGGGGCAGGGAAGGGGAGGGGGGGGAGGGGGGTATAGCACAAAGTGTAGTGGGTGGTGCAACGGGTTGTGGTGGAAAGGGTAGCGAGTAGCGGTGGGTGTGCGGTGTGGCTGGTGGTCGCGCCGGTGCGCCGTTGGAGGCGGTGGGCTGGCGCGGTGGGCAGGGTGGCGATCAGCACGCTCTGGCGTAGCATGGTCAGGGGCAGACGGCGGCGCCGCGAGTCGGCGAGGCAGGCGGCCTAGCGGCTAGCCAGACTGGTCCGGACAGAGGTAGAACTTGTTGCTACCATTGGTGCTCACTCACGAACCGCAAGTCGCTTGCGCAGACAATCCGGTCAGCCGTACAACTTTGCCTCGCCTGGGGCTGCGCCGGCAGCTGGCGGAGGGGCGCCGACACGGATCTTTACGCCGCCACCGCGGACAGCTTTGGGCAGGCAGCAAGCGCCGGGTTCGAGCGTGCAGATGAACACTTTCTCTAGCTCGAGCCCATCGTTTTCGTCGCAGGCGGCGGCCCGGCCGCCGCCTGCGTCGCCGTTTGGCGGCTCGCCGTTCCCGCAGAGCCCGTTTAGCTCGCAGCAGCCGGCGGTGCAAGACAACCGGACAGACGAGGAGAAAGATGCGCAGTGGGGTGAGGATCTGGTAGCATTTGCCAAGATGCGGCGGCTACTGCTCCGGCTTGTCGAACACGGGGTGGTCACGTCAGACTCGGTGACAGAGCAGGTACGGACGACGGCGCAGGCGGCTCTGCAGATCCTGCAAGCCTCGGGTCCGTCGTCGCCCCTCCGGGTCCAGCTCCCGCAGTATGTCAGCTTGTTTGGACAGCAGCTGCTGCGGCTCCTGCACGACGCATACAACGCGTTCCAGGCGGCGGCGCAAGAGGCTCCGTTTAACCGGCCGATCAACCAGCGGCCAGCGGCGGCGCAGAGCGCACAGAGTGCGCCGTCGCCGTTTTCGCCTTCCCGCGCCGCGCCACCGCCGCCGGGCATGGCCTCGCCGGGCATGGCCTCGCCGCCGCCGCCTCCTGCGCCGTCGTCGGCCGGTGTGGCGGGCCTTGCCGGGCCGTCGGGTGCCGCGCCTAGCGAGGACGAGCTCAAGTCGGAGTTTACGGCGCCGACCTCGCACGCCATGGTCACCAACGGTGCCGCGGTCCAGCAAGCCCTGCAGAACATGCACCGGCAGGCGACCCAGTACGCGTCGGCCGGGCAGCCGATGCTCCGCAACTACTTTGTCTCGGCTGCCAATATGCTTGCCTCGGCCACGCCGCTCCTTCCCTACGACATCGCCTTTCTCGACAAGCGGCGCAACAAGCACCCGCCGCCGCCAGTAGACACCTCGTCCGGCGGGTGCTGCGTCATTAGCTGAATTCCCGTACTGCGATTGAAGAAGAGCCGATGAGAGAGGGAGGGCAAGGGAGGGCAGGGCGGCAGCGGCCTGCTGTCGTCGGTCGGCAGTTGGTGACTGGAGGAGGGGGGGAGGGGGGGGGGGGGGAGGGGGTGGGGGAAGTAGTAACACTCGACGACAACACACTATGGTACGGAGAGGAGAAAGGGGAGAGTGTGAAGGAGAATGGAGGGGAGGGAGGGGAGGGGAGGGGAGAGGGAAGGGGAGGGGAGGGGGTGGCGTGCTGGCGGGGTGGCGGGGTGG